GAGCCCGATGTGGGGCTCGATCCCAGGACCCCAGGAACATGACCTGAGCCGAAGGCAGACGCTTAACGACTGAGCCACCCAGGCACCCCACAGCAGCCCTCATTTTTGAAACACTTTCCTGTTTTGGCTTCTAAGACATTATACTTTCCTACTTTCTTTTCTATCTCACTTGCTGCTCTTTCTCAGTCTCTTTTGTGTTTACCTCATCTTCCCCTTCATTCTCCTTTTCTTTCATCAGGGTATTAAATGTTGGAAAGCCCCAGGGCTCTTTCTTGAGATATCTTCTCTATACACTCTTACCATGTCATCTTGTCTCATGTCTTTAAATACTATGTGAAAATTGCTTCCAAATTTCTATCTTTAGCTCTGACACTTCACTTATGTCCATACCCCTCTATCCAATTGTTTACTTAATCACTCTTCCTAGATGTCTAATAGGGATTTGAGACTTAACATGTCCAAAACAAAACTTGTGGTTTTCACCCATGGAGACCTGCCTCCTCTCCCAGTCTTACAAATTTCAGTAAATGGAATTGCTGTCCACCTCGTTGCTCAAGTCAGAAGCCTGGGAGCCATTCTTGATTCCTCCTGTTCTCCTATACCCTGTATAGGAGCAAGTTTTAACCTTGCCACCCTAGTGTATTTGAGTTTATCTACTTTCTCTCATTTCTACGAGCTTAGCTCTAGACATCATTATCTGTTCCCTGGACTACTATGGTAGACCTCTGTTTGTTTCCTTGCCTCTATCCTGCCTTCCACAATTCATAGAGCAGCCAGTCATCTTTTAAATTTTAAGATATTACATCATGTTACTTCCTTGTTTAAAATCCTTCAGTGGTTTCTATTGCTCTTAAAATCTACATTTGTTTGCCTGGCCTATGAGGCCGTGCATGATTTAGCCCTTGCCAGATCTCTACCCCCATTACCTACCACTCTTTTCTGTCAGTATTATCCAACCCTGTGGTCTTCTTTCTTCCTTGGGGCTTTTATACTAGCTCTTTCCTCTGCCTGGAAGGTTCTTCCCCTTGATCGTCACATGGCCGACTACTTGTCATTTATCTTTCAGTACCTGTCATCCCTAATTTTTTGTTTGTGTTTGTTTATTTTCTGCTCTTCCAACACCCCCTCCACCAGCTATAAAATCCTTGAGATTGGGGCTTTGTCTGTCTTGTTCAGGGATGCATTTCTTGAACTTAACATGGTGTCTGGTAGACTTTACTTAAATATTTGTTTAAAAATTTTTATTTATTGAGTTATAGTTGACATTTGTTTTAGGTGTACAACATAATAATTTGATTTATGTATATATTGTGAAATGATTACCACAATAAGTTTAGTTAACATCCATCACCATACATAGTTACAGTTTTTTTTTCTGTGAGGAGAACTTTTAAGATCTACTCTCTTAGCAACTTTAAAATATACAGTACGGTATTGTTAACTATAGTCACTATGTTATACTTTAAATCCCTAGGACTTAATTTATCCTATAACTAGAAATTTGTACCTTGGAGGGGGGAAAGATGGCGGAGGAGTAGGGGACCCTATTTCAGCTGGTCCCCGGAATTGAGCTGGGTATCTACCAGATCACTCTGAGCACCCACGAAACCAGCCTGAGATGTAAGAAGATCTGGATCTCTACAAACAGAATATTGCAGGCGGTTGGTTTTGAGGTA